GCCACTCTCCCTTCCCGGCACGCACCCCTCCCTTCTCCTCCGGGCACCCAGTCCTTTTCCTCCTGCACCGGGTCCTTCCCCACCGGAACCCCGTCCCCTCTCGACAAACCGGCGCTCACCCCTCTTTTCGTGCGGGGAAGACTCTCGGATGCGAGAGTAAGCGCCGCGCTGCCGGCCTGTTTGAGCGCGAAGTCTCTTGCCCGTGGGCAGGTACCGAGCGCTCCCCGCTCCGCCGAGGGAGCCCGGGGCCGAGAGACGGGAGGGGACCCAGAGCTACTTAAACTACGACGACCGTGTATTTTGCACTCCAGGGGCAGAGCGCTCATTCTGCGTCGGGGGAAAAACAACTGGTTAGTAGGAGAGCTGGGTGTCATCTCCGCTTTAGGATGAGCCGTGGGCCTCAGAGGGCATCCTGGCTGGAGTCTGGGCGCAGGTGCACCCAGACGCGTGGGACGAGGTGGGCAGGGCAGAGCCCAGGGCCTGCGAGGGGGCTGCGCAGTAGCCACGCCGGAGAGGAGGGTGGCGCCGCTCACCACTGCAGGGAAGCCTCCCGGGGAGCCGGGACCCTGCCGATCCTACGTCCTCCTAAGTGGGGCGGCTACAGCTGTTCTTGACGCTCGTGGAACTGAGACGGAGAAAGGCTTGCTCACTTGCTATCAGGCCTGTCCCTCTCATAGGGTATCGTGTAGTTATTTGGATAACATCTCTTACTTGGTACTTCGGGCTTTCTCTGCCCCACTTAATCCAAAAGGAAATGGGTGACTTCCCTTTGGTGTGAATGTGTCAGCAGCAGAATGCGTCTGGCTAAGTGGGGGACTGCAGAACTGTATAGGAATATAGTGTTCGCTGAAAAGATGTTAGGGAGTCTGCTGTAAAAGTACACAATGTTCTAGACCTAATGGACTGAATGTGCATAAATAGGGTTTGGGGGGGGTTCTTCATGGAAGAGAAATGTTTCAATGACTGCTCATCCTGACTTACTCTCATGCGGGGGTTCTGCCAGGGCCATGGTGATTAGAAACAGCTGAAAGATAATCCCCGACTGGAAAAGCTTGGGGAATACCTGAGGCTAAGAACAGTGAACACTTAATTTAAGCCAAGACATTTTATGTATCCTCTAAAGGATGAGTAAGCATGGGGGTACTGTAGAAGCAGAGAGCTTTTTAAGGACCTCAGTTGCAGAGTTTTGTATTCTGTCCATGCAGTTCCCATTCATACTTGTTCTGTTATATTTTCCCTTTTATCTCTATTTTCTGTTTTTAAAATATATATTTTTTATTGATTTCAGAGAGAGGAAGGGAGAGCGAAAGAGATGGAAACATCAATGATGAGAGAGAGTCATTAATTGGCTGCCTCCTGTAAGTCCCCTCCTGGGGATCGAGCCCCCAGCCTGGGTATGTGCCCTGACTGGGAATCGGACCTCCATCTCAATGCTCAACTGCTGAACCATGCTGGCTGGGCTTATCTCTGTTTTCTATTCCATAGGTAGCCTGTTTCACGTATTTCCATGTATTGTATGTTTGTTTGTACTCTAGTTTGTGTATATATGTATTTTTAATTTATGTAAATAGTATCATGGTAGTTAACCATTTCTGACTTTTCACTCAGTATTCCAGCCTTACAGCACAGCAACCCAGTGGTCTACCTGGTTACCACTGTGTAGTTTTCCACATGAGCATTCATCACATTTACTTTGCCATGTCCCAACCCACATGGTCTCCAAATTGCCATTCCTACAGTAATCCTTTTAGTGTTCTCTATGAGCCTGTGTGAGAGTTTGGGAAATATACCCAGAGTGAGATTGCTGGGTTTCTGCATGCTTAATTTTACTAAGTCCTGCTAGGCTGCTCTTTAAAATGGCTCTGTCTGCATTCCAGCAGGCATACTTGAGGTTTCATATTTTCTTTGGCATTATCCAACCTTCTAATTATTGCCCATCTATTGGATGTAAATTGTTATGTTTTAATTCACAACTCTGATAGCTGGTGAGTTTGAGCATCTCTTCATATAGTTGTTGGTTATTATTGTTTTCTCCCTCCCTTTACTTGCCTATTCGTATCTTTTGCCCATTTTTCTATTTGATTTCTTATTAATTTGTAGGAGTTCCTTGTACATTATACATATTAGTCCTTTTTAGTTTTAGACATTGCAGAATCTTCCTCTAATCCATAATCTATTTATTATTTTTGTCTGTGGTTTCTTTTCTTTTTTAAAAATTTTATTTTTCGATTACAGTTTATACTCTATTATTTTGTCTTAGTTTCAGGTGTACAGCATAGTGGTTAGACAATCATACTTTACAAAGTGATTCCCTCAATAATTCTAGTACCCACCTGGCACCATACATAGTTATTACAATATTATTGACTGTATTCCATGTGCTGTACTTTACATCCCTGTGACTATTTTGTAATTGCCAATTTGTATTTCTCAATCCCTTCACCTTTTATACCCAATCCCCTAGCCCCCCTACCATCTGGCAAACCATCAGTCTGATCTTTGTGTATATGAGCCTGTTTCTGTTTTGTTTGTTCATTTATTTTGTTCTTTAGATTCCACATATAAGTGAAATCATCTGCTATTTGTCTTTCTCTGACTGACTTATTTCACTTAGCACAATGCATTCTAGGTCTATCTATACTGCCACAAATGGTAAGATTTTATGCTTTTTATGACTGAGTAATATTCTAGTGTGTATGTGTACATATACATACACACACACAACTTTTTTACCCACTGTGGTGAGTTTCATTTAAGAAATTCTCAGTTTGTGTGTAATCAAAAAAAAATTTTTTTTCAACATTACTAATTGTTGGGCTTTTTGAGTCTTAAGAAGTCTTTATTCTAAGTAATAAAGATTTTCTATGTTATACTTGCCTTATTCTATGATATTGGGTTCATCACATATTATATTTGGTGGGCCAAGTAACCTCTTTCTACTTTTTCAAAATTAACTTAGCTCTTTGTGGGCTTTTAGTCTTCCACATAAATAATACAATAAGTTTGTCAAATTTCTCATAAAAATCAGATGTTTTGTTTAGTGTTTTAAAAAAAACCTTTGATCTCTTTCATATCTCACAACTCTTAAAAAGATTTTGGCATTTGTAATGTATGGGGACAAGGGTGTCTTATGGTAAGTAGTGAACTGTCTTAATGACTGAGAACAGTTTATATTTCTGGATTGAAAAGTGAGTAAATGCAGTGCGGGCCCCATGGAAAAATGCTTAGACTTTTTATGAAAACGGGAGGAGCAGAGTCCCATTCCCACTGTCAGATTTGCTATGAGTAGAAGATGCCAGCTACTGATGAGGCAGACCAGGATGGGGGAAGGTGTGGCTTTTCTTATGTCAGTTTCTCCTTTCTCCTTCCTGTCTATTAAGCACCTGTGCACTTGCTCGGTGCAAGAGAGAGAAAGACAAAGGCATATAAGTAATATATTGATTGAACATTTTGCTGATGCCAAAGGGCATGTTGTGGAAAAGAGTGCATTTTTTTTTTTCCTATAAGGTTTGGATACTTTTTAAATTAAATTACAAATGTATGACCTCTTACCCCCACATTCACACCCTGTCCTCCAACCAGTTTAGTGAGACAATCACCCGCTTAAGCTCACATAATTTCATTTCAGGGTGGATTGCTGCTATGTTCTTTTAAGAAGAAAGGAATTCAGTTGGGCATATAGGTTAAAGTTTTTAACCTTTTTTAAAATTCCCCATTTGAAACTCTCTGCATTTTATTGTTTTCACTGAGTATTGCCTTCTTTCTGCCAGACTGAGGTTCATTTCCAAACCTGCATATTTGCCATTCCTGCCTCCTACCCCAGCTTGAATAGGACTGAGAGCCTCACGCTTTTGTGATGTTTTTCATGGCCCACTGGACTTTGCATTATATAGAACACAACCTTTAGAGTTTCAGCCCTAGCTCTACTCCTTAGCTATGTGATGATAACGACACACTCAGAGCAGTAGTTAAGTATATATGTCCCCTTTCATGACTTGTATTATCACAGTTCCCATAATAAAGGCAGGACTGATATTTCCTTATTATGTCTGAAACCCTATAGCTACTTATGGGACCTGGGTCTCGAGCCCAGATATCTGTTTTTACTCATCCTGTCAGCATTAGTTTAGTCATATGAAACTCTGGGTGCGTATTAGCAGATAGGACAGTCACATCGTGGAGTGTCCACATTAAATGCCACACCTGACTTTGCTCTGTTGACTTTAGCTTGAAATGACTGGATTGCTCCCTGATGCCTACCTGTTTTTCTGGCCTTTCTGTTACACATGTCTCATTCATTACACCCTACCTTTTCTTCACATTTCCCAAAAGTGATTCCCCCCCCTCCCCTTGGTACTTGCAGTATTACTGGTGAGATCATTGTACCTTAACTTTGTTCTTTTCAAAAAGTGTTTTCTTTCACTTGCAAGCTCAGTAATGAGCCAGTGAGTTGGTTTCGGAAAGGAATAGTGAACCATGAAAAAATATAATGCTCTTTGGGAAAGAAACCAGATACTTGCAAATTGGCTGTACTTGCTACTGGAGCAAACTTCCCGAAGCCTGCTTGGAGTAATTCACTCAAAACAGCTGTTAGCCACCTTGTGGCCCTGTTCCTGTTTTATGTCCCCAAGACTCTGGACATTAGTAAGACAGGTCAGGGCTGTAAATTCGCACCCAGTGCCAGCTTACATGTAGTCATCCGTTTCTGGTTTGCTTTTAAATGACCTCTTCTTTCTCATCTTCCCTCACCTTTTTGCCATCTCCGTTAAGGAAATATTCATTGAACACTTAGGTGCCAGGTACTGTCCTGGGTGTTGCTAGGGACAGAGCTGAGTTGGTCTAGACACAGTCTTTACCTTCAAGGAGCTCAGGGAGCTTAGAGCCAGCTCCCTTTGACTTGAGCGCTGTTCCCCTCTCAGGGAGACAGGAAATGTTGGCAAGACTGGTTGATGCCATTGTGACTTGTTTTGAGGAACTTGTGTTAACTCTAGTAGGCAGCTGGGAGTTGTTGAAGGTGTTTGAGTAGAGGAGGTCACTGATTTATAATTTTTTTTTTTAACTTTTTTCTTTTTTTTAAATCCTTACCTGAGGATATTTATTCCATTGCTTTTTCAAAGAGAGTGGAAGGGGTCAGGGAGGAGAAACATCGATGTGAGAGAGACACATCAATTTGTTGCCTCCTACATGTGCCCTGAGTCTGTGGATCAAGCCTGCAACCTAGGTACGTTCCCTGGGCCAAAATCAAACCTGGAACCCTTCAGTCCACAGGTTGACGCTCTAACCACTGAGCCAGACCAGCCAAGGTGGAATTGTTCTTTAGAAAGATTAATCTGGCAGCGGCGCAGGGGATGGACTGGGAGACAGGGTGACCAGGGACAGTGGTGGGGTGGCAGCCTCTTTTGTGGGGCACTCGACCGCTTACAAAACACATTCACATCTACAATCTCATTTAATGAGAAGTAACTTGGGGAGGCAGGTGGGGCGGGTATCATTCCTGGTTTTCGTGGGTTTGAACTGAAGCTTAGAGATTCGGTGGTGACTGGGTTGTGTGCTGAGGGCTAGAAGGAAGGGTCAGCATTGTGGGTGGAAGGCGAGACCAGTGCGGGTGCCATTCTGGAGGCCAAACTGTAGGGTTTGAATCAGTAGATGTTGGTTATTGGAGAGAATAAGGAGTTAGGCAGTACTGAGGCTTCAGATCCGGCTTCTGGGAAGAGCGGTGCCATTACCAGATGGAGCAGAGCAAGTTTAGTTTCGAATACTAGATCGAGGGGCAGGTTTGTATTCTAGGTGGCAATATCAGGAGGACAGTTTGAAATTGGGGTCTAAGATTGGCGCCAAGTGTTTTTTAAATTTTTTTTTCATTGATTTTTTAGAGAGAGAGGAAGAGAAACATCAATTTGTTGCTCCACTTATTGATGCATTGATTGGTTGATTCTTGTATGTGCCCTGACCGGCGATCGGACCCGCAACCATGGTGTATTGGGGGCAGTGCTCTAACTAACTGAGCAACCTGACCAGGGCAAGGCCAAATGTTTTGACAATTGGGAGATCACTGGTGATTTTAGAAAATAATTTCAGTAGAGTGGTGGAAGAGGAAACCACATCGAGATCAGAATTGGGGGTGCTGGGGTATAAGTGCTGAGGTGGAATGAGCAGTGGGAGGTATTGGAGTGGTGGTGACAGTGCTCTTCCTTAGATGCAGAGAGAAGGAAAACAGAGTGAGCCAAGCTGCAAGAGGATTTTGAGGTGGAGGGGGGTGAGTTTGAGGCGCTCCCAACAGTAGACTTGTTTGTATACAGGCTTAGGTAAACTCTTACCTGTTGAGCAAAAAGAATGAGAAGAATTTGGTGCTAAAAGAGGTTTGTGACAGCAGATGTGGGAAGTGTGGAGGGTCACCAAGGAAAGGTCAAGAAGAGGCTTCACAGCCCTGGCCGGTGTGGCTCAGTGGTTATATTCAAGGGTCGACCTTGAACCAAAGGGTCATGGGTTCAATTCCTGGTCAAGGGCACGTACTTGGGTTGTAGGTTTGATCCCCTGCCCCAATTGGGGGGGGTGTGGGAGGCAGCCAATAGATGTGTCTCTCTCACATCCATGTTTCTCCTCTACCCTCACCTTTCTCCCTCCCTCCCTCCTTAAAAATCAATGGAAAAAATATCCTTGGGTGACGATTAACAACAAAAAAAGAAAAGGCTTCACATTTGGAATTTTCAGTGACTCTAAGCAGTATAGTTTTGTGGCTTTCCAGTAGTTCTTGGAAACCAAAAAATAGGGTTGGAAGGAGAGGCATCGGGGGCTTTTCAGGGCTGGGAATGAGGTGCAGTCCAGGACATGGGAGAGTTGAGAAGTTTCAGGGTGTTAGTCAGTTATTATTTCATAGATGGAGCAGAGGTGAGTAAATCCCTGTATGTAGGCTGTTAGCTCTGGCAATAGGTTGGAAAGACTGTTGAAGGTAGCCATTTAAATGGAGTTTGGAATTATCGATCGTCTTCAATCATCCATGGTAAGTCTCCCTACAAAAGCAGCATGTGCACAGAATTAACAAGGGAGAGGCAGCCCTGAAGATGGTTCCACAGCCCGGCCTGGCCTTGTATCACTTGGCTCATTGCTGCCTCCTTTCCTCACCTTTGAAACAGTAACTACCACCTGCTTTAACTTTGGTTTGGTGCTTCACCAGCAATTTTGTGCGGTGTATAATCTTTTATTGCATTAGGTGATGTAATAACTTAGTGAAAACATTTTTGGGCAGCATTTTTCTAATGTTGTAGTGCTGTGAATATATCTTTTATGAGCCCTATTTACTCCCTATTGTGAATGGTTATAAATTACTCTAAACTCCCTCTCCACACATCTTTTTCCCCTTTCTTCATTTTTTGAAGTCAAATTTTCACTTTCTTTAATGCAGGCATGAAGAAAACCCTGCAGGATGAGATTGAAGGTATTCTGCAGGAGAGGATCATGGTGCTGGATGGAGGGATGGGGACCATGATCCAGCGGCACAAGCTGAGTGAAGAAGACTTTCGAGGTCAGGAATTTAAAGACCATGCCAGGCCACTGAAAGGCAACAATGACATTCTAAGTATAACTCAACCTGATGTCATTTATCAAATCCATAAGGTAAAGTGTGAACAGGCGCTGATACTCTCAGTCTGTCATTCTTCATGACATTCGTGTACCGAGGGCAGAACACTGTCCTGGGCACGCTGGAGGGTAGAGAAAGAGGTGATTGTTCAGAAAGCAGGCGTTGGACACCAAATAAAAGTCATGCCCTGTGTTGAGCATTTAAGGTAAGGAGATGAGGAAGGTACATTGTCTGCCTTTGAGGTGTTGAAACTCCAATGAGAAGCCACAAAATCCTGGGCAAATTAGGGTTTTCATATATGCTGTGTTACTTAACTCATCACACAGCCTTGATGAAGTACAACGAAAGGTAGTTCTCATTTTGTAGATTTGGAAACTGAGGATCATAAAGGTTAAATATGGTCAAACCTCAGTTCTCGAACGTCTCCAGCATCTTGAACAATTCAGGTTCTCGACCAAGTTGTTCATGAAAAAAATGTCTTGTTTGTGGAATAAAACTCCTGTACTTGACCTGACAGCCCTTTCATTCTGATACATTAGCATGGCAAAAGTGTCTCAGGCCACAAAGGAGAGAATGCACCACCAGTATGAGTCAGTTTACCACTAAAGTTTGTCTTGTTAACATCTTAGGAAATTGTACAGTGAATATTTTTGTGTAGGGGTGGGGTGGGGGCATTGTTGTTGCTGGCAAAATGGATGATTGGCACAATTTTAAAACATAAAGAGGCCATCAGGAGTGCTAATGTTGCTAAGAGTGTGAAAGAAACAATGGTCACAAGGCAGTTGAAGAAGTAGAAAAAGTGTTGTTGATTTAGATAAACGAACAGCAGTTAGCCAGCGAGAGGCAGTGGTCTGTGAAAAAGTGAAGAAGATGCCTCATACTGACCTGAAAGACCCTCTGGAACGAGTGCTGAAAATGATTTAAGGCCAGTAGGAGAAATTTAAGAAGTGTTTGTTTACAAATTAAATAGTCTATTAAACACTTACTGTATATAAGAAAGGTTAAAGTGGAATCATTTGGGGGTCTGGAATGAATTAATTCAATTTACATTATTTCTAATGGGAAAAAATTCTGTTTTCGAACAAATCACTTCTGGAACAGCCTTCCTGAATGAATTAAGTTTGAGAACTGAGATTCCACTGTAACTTGCCTGACTGGACAGAGGTTTACTGACCTAAATCCCATGTTTTTTCATTCTGTTTTTTTTGGTCTTCAATAAAAATGGCTAGCCAAAATAAAGAGATCAGAAGCAAGTAACTGGGTATTATTATACTTTTAAGATTTAAAAATAAACATAGTACTAAATTTGTTGAGGGCAGAAATATTAATCATGTTCTGTTAATTATGATTGTTCTGTTCTAATTAGCAAAAGCACTTTCTAAGCTGGCTGGGAGTTGTACTCCCCAGGTCATGGGAGTTGGAATGTGAGCCATTCTCCTAAGTGCCTATCATCATGGAAACATTAACAACCTTGTTGTAGGAACAAAGGAGTCTGGAGGCGCCCCACTAATTTGCAGACCCCCAGCCTGTAACCTGTAAACCATATACCCATTCTATTTCCTTTTGCCCACTTCCCCATGTAATATTTGTCCTTCTACCCGATATAAGGAACCGGCTTATGCGGGGCGGGTTAGAGCAGATTTTATGTGGACAAATCTCTCTGTTCTCCCATTTTGCTGGCAATAATGGAATAAAATGCTCATATGTGATTCAACCTTGTCTCTGCTTAATTGGCACAGCCTGAACCCACTGTGTCCGATTTCAATTGTTTCATGGGTAATCATAGGAATTTCATAGAATTATGACTAGAAGAAATAGTAAGGTGATTTAATCTGTTTCCCTGGTCTGGATTCAATTAGAAGAACAAATCTTACTTACTAGTTAAGTGAGAAAGTTTTATTTTCTAGAGCTCTCTTATTATTATAGGTGTTTCAGACTCTTAAGGAAAAAAATTTACTGAAACAAATCACTGGGTGGTTCAGGGATTCCTTGCAGGTGGAAGGGGTCATTTTATTGGGCCATCAAAACTTTGTTCTAAGTAAGATGCAGGATGGTTTTCATTTGAAGAAAAACTAAGAGTACCTTTCCTTTGGTTATAATGGGAATTGTAGGTACTGGAAAATTTTAAATTGGTCTTTGAAGAGATTTGGTTCTGCAGACAGGGTGGTGACTTGGTTTTTGTGTTATAAAACCCCTGTGTGTTGAGATTGGGAATGTCATCGTGGGAGTGAATTGCTTGGGGTGGTTACAAACTCAGTTCTTCTAATGCAGTTGGTAAATCACACGAGTACCATGCCGTGTGGCTTTGTTCATCTGGATTATCACTAGAGTATAGTTTCCTGAGGGTAGCAGTTTATGCCCGTTTTTCGCTCCTGAATAGCTATTGCCTAGAACAGTCTCTTGCATGCAGAGAGTACTCTGTACATACCTGTCGAAGGAATGAATCCTTGTCCTGTGCAGTTAGGCAGCTAGATAGAATGAGGTTCCCATGATAGGTATGTGAACAAGACCTGCTGTGGTGCAGTAAGGTATACCTAGTGGGAGAATGCTTAGTAGCCAAAGTCTTTGAATGTAGAGACCATGTCATGTTCGTGGACGAAGAAAAGGCAAAACTGGGTTGTTTTCACACCTTGTAGTTCAGATCCTCTGATATTTAAGTTTAATGGACTTTTAAAGTTATATTCATAGTGTAAGTGCCTGACATTAAGTTTTTGATTGCAGAAGCATCTATTTCAAAGACATTTACCTCAAATAAACATACTGGCAGGCGTATGACATAGCTTGTAGCTAAACAGCTAAATAAGGAACCAGGCCAGTCCTACCCATGAAGTTCCCCTTTAAGAATGCTCTGGGTGATCTAGATAATGGACTGCTTGAGTGACTCCTTTTCCCTTTTTGCACCCTAATTCCCACTCTTATGTTTTAAATTTGCCAATAAAGAGTGAACTCACGAAATCCTAAGACCCCACCCTTGACCTCAGTAAAGGCTGACCTCCAGGTTCACGTGCTCTCACTTGCTCACATGCACCTACCCCCACCCTGCCTTGCTGTGTGGCCCCAGGAGTGCCTGTACCATCCAGGACCTGTGAGTGATATATCTGGCTCTTTAAAAAGTTCCCTGATGGTTGTTGTTGAGGTGCACTTGGCAGTCATCATAACCACATGGGCCCTGGCTCACCACAGCAGTAGGGGCCCAGGTAATTGCCTCAGGCATTACTAGCCTATTGCTATCAATATAGGCTGAGACCTACGTGAAACGTTACCTGAAACATCCATTAACCTCTAGAAGGGCCCTCTTTAATGTCTTTCTTTAATTTTGACAGCTTCCTGCATGAGAAAACTGAGGAGCGGAGAAATTAAGTAGCTTGCCCCAGATTACACATTTTTTAAAATCACTAGAATAGGATTGGAATCGGCGGTCCTACGCAGAGTCCGTGAGTGGAGCAATGAGCTAGGAAATAGGAAAGGTGGAGAGAGCAGGCAACGAGCTAGAGGAAGCACCTTTTAACTTCATGTTATGGAAATTTTCAAATCTGTGTGAATTTAGAAATATTTTTCTCTAATTAGAAAGAGTGCATTCACTGTTTAAAAAAACACGTCTAACTAGATAATATAGAAAAGCATAAAGGAGAAAATAACCATTTGTAATATCAATACCAAGAGATAACTACCATTTGCATATTTTAAGTATATTTCAATCTAGTTTTCTATACTTGGATTTAAAAAATTAAATTAGGATTATATTACTTCATACTGTTCTAAAATTTTCATTTTTTATTTATATACCATGAGCATTAAATGTTCTGAAAAATGGTTTTAAGAACTTCATAATAATTTATTCTATGTATACATCATCAATTACTTAACTAATTTCCTTATTCCTAGGCATTAAGGAAATTTTCTTTCTCTTTTTTGAAAAATTAAATTTTATTTTATTTGTTCTCATAGATAAGAATAAACTGCCTTTAACACTACTCCAAAGTTCTATTTTTTCACCAAGATAACCACTTATATTACTTGGCATATGTCTTTCCAGATTATTTTGTTATGCATTTATATATGTATATATGTGTATATATGTATGTGTATACATATATATTTGTAGAAAACTCAGTACTGTTTATATATATGTATGTATATATGAGTGATGTCATGTTTTACATATCAGTCAATCTCGTTTTTCTTTCAGCAGTACTTTGGAGATCTTTCCATGTTAGTATATGTAGATATACACAATGGTTTTTAGCTGACACATGGCATGTAATAATAGGGGTGTGTTATAGTTTATTTCGCTGTTTCCTTACTGATGGATATTTAGGAAGTTTGTGACTTATAAATGTGTAAATCTTGGTTTTCATTGCATAGCTCTTCTGTAAACAGTTTTATCAGCTAGGAGGGGTTGGGTTCACTCACTGTCAGAAAATCTAGGGGGTTGAGAGATTCCAGAGTGCTCGTCAGGCTGAGGTTGAGCTGGTGAAATGAGGAAGAACAGGAATCTAGGGGTTTGAGAGATTCTAGAGTGCTAGTCAGGCTGAGGTTGAGTTGGTGAAATGAGGAAGAACAGGAATCTAGGGGGTTGAAAGATTCCAGAGTGCTCGTCAGGCTGAGGTTGCGTTGGTAAAATAAGGAAGAACAAGAGGGCACTGGGCCTCAGGGCTCTTGGGAAGGTGCAGCTCTGCCTTGGAGGGATTAGAAGATGGGGACAGAATAGTCGTGGTCGGCTTTGAGGTCTAGAGATGAGTTCTCATTGGAGATCTGACTGTGGTGAAGCAGCCGGAAGGTAAGGGAACAGAATTAATGTTTGTTGCGTGCCCCCCACCCTGTGCCAGACACTTGAGATGGTTCATGTATAATCATACAGCTGCCCTGTGAAGAAGGGTTATAATACTTTCAAAGGAGGACACCGGACTCAGAGAGTTTAAGGAACTTGACTCAGTTCTTGGAACTTAGGGTGTGAACTTACATGCGTTCAAGTTCTGTGTTCACTTACACCATGTGCCTTTCTATGAACGTCTTACATCTGTTTCATCTCTAGCCTCCAGTGCAGTGCTGTATACTTAGTAGGTGGTCACATGCTATTTGTGGGTAATGATGAAAAGGCATGTTTGTTGTTGGGGGACAGGGATTCTAAACTCAGCATCGACATTACTATCTCATTACAGGATTACTTGCTGGCTGGGGCAGATATCATTGAAACAAACACTTTTAGCAGCACTCATGTTGCCCAAGCTGACTATGGCCTGGAACACTTGGTAAGATGTCCATTTTCCTTCATAGCTAAGATGTTGTGAGCATTTACCACATTGCTAGTTGCTAGTGAAAAGACCACCTGAAGTGAATGCCTAGTTATCTGTTGTTTGTGCTCAGACAGGGAAATCGTTTGACTCTCTTCTGTTTATGAACATAGCAGCCCATTCATTTTCCATTTGGCTTCTTTTTTTTTTTTTTAATTAAAAAAAATTTTTTTTTTAATCCTCACCTGAGGATATTTTTTCCATTGTTTTTCAGAGAGGGTGGAAGGGAGAGAAAGAGAGAGAAACATTAATTGGTTGCCTCCCGCAGAAGCTCTGACCAAGGTACATGCCCTTGGCTGGAGCCAGACCCAGGACCCTTTAGACTATGGGCCAGTGCTCTGACCACTGAGTCAGACTGGCTCGGGCCCATTTGGCTTCTTTCATGGGCAAGTAATCAAATAAAAATGATGCGTGGTGACTGCTGGAAAGGCACAATGATTGGCCGCATACACTTTTTTGTGAGGCCTTTTTTTTAATCCTCACCTGAGGATATGTTTGATTTTTTTTTTTTTTTTTTTTTAAGAGCGAGAGAAGGGAAGGGGAGAGAGAGAAACATCAGTGTGAAAGAGAAACATCTATTGGTGGCCTCCCTTACGCAACCTGACCTGGAATTGAACCTGAACCCGCAACCTAAGCATGTGCCCTGACCCGGATCAAACCCATAACCTTTTGGCGTGTGGAACAGCACCCCAGCCAACCCAGCTGCACTGACCAGGGCTTGTTAGGCCTTTTTTTCTTTAAACCTCACCCAAGGATATGTTTTTCATTGATTCTAGAGAGAGAGTAAAGGAGAGGGAGAGAGAGGGAAACATTGATGTGAGAGAGAAGCATATGTCAGTTACTTCGTGCACACACCCTGACTGGGGATCGAACCCGAAACCTGTGCCTGTTCCCTGACCAGGAATCGAACCAGTGACCCTGTGGTGCATGGGACAGTGCTCTAACCACTGAACCATGCCGGCCAGGGCTTGTGAGGCCTTTTAAGTATTGGGTGGCAGATTTGATTTCCTTTGTTTTTTCAATTGTGGCAAAATACATGTAACATAAAAATTTATCATCCTAACCATTTTTAAGTATAAGTTCAGTGTCATTAAGTACATTCACATCAATGCTACTGATACCACCATCTATCCACAGAATTCTTTTCATCTTGCCGAACTGAAACTCTGTCTCCATTAAACAATAACTCCCCATTCCCCTTTCCCCTCAGACTCTGGCACTCACCATTCTACTTTCAGTCTCTGAATTTGATTTCTCTAGTGCCTCATATTAGTGTAATCGCATGCCTTTTGGATATCACTGGAAAATAAATTTGTATTGCAGTCACTTTTGTGTTGTTTTAGAGTAGGGGTTGGCAAACTTTTTGTGTAAAGGGCCAGATAGTAAGTATTTTGGACTTTGTTGGCTACATACAGTGTCTGTTGCAACCACTCAACTCTGTCATTGTAGTGCAAAAGAAGTCATAGAAAAGTTGTCAATGGTGGGCTTGATTGTGTTCTAATAAAACTTTATTTACAAAATAGGCAGCAGTCTAGATTTGCCTTGGGAGCCATAATTTGATAAACCCCTATTTTAGGATATTATGGTTTTTTAATGACTAGATATGAAGACCCAAGGTATAGACGATCTTAGAATTAGATGGGATCTTGACGATCACAAGTCCAGGAGCTCCTACTCCAGCTTGTGGAAGCCCTTCAGGAGGCCTTTGAACCTCTTTAAATTGTAGGCAGTACTTCGTATGTTTGTGCGTACTTGCTTTTGTTTCCTAGTGAAAGAGTTCATGGGCCTTTACCAAATTTCAGAAGGTTAATAATCTATGAAAAGTTCAGAACCGTTGCTTACAACCATTGTTTGGTGAAAGAAGTCAGGGCTAGCTGGCAGTGACAGAGCTGGTCCCAGAAGCCAGGCCTCCTGTGTCTAAACCCTGTGCTTTTCCCATTACTACTCTTTTTTCTAAATTGCAGAATATTTAACTACATCAGCTTAGTCTCTAACATGCCAGGTGTCAGAGATTGTCCTTTTGATACCTCCCTCATGGTTTTGGGGAAGAACCTAAAAGCAGTTTCCAAAGACTTTCCTTTCCTGTTGCCTTCCAGGCTGGGGAAGCTGATAGACCTTCTTGGCCAAGATTTCATTCAGACCTCAAACTAATTCACTCTCCATTTCCTTACTGACCGACCCTGGGTTTTAGAGGGGCATGGGTTCCTCATTTAACATGTGGAGGAAACGGACAGGCTAACGTGTGCAGTATTATGTTAGGCCTACCGGATGAACAAGTGCTCTGCGGCAGTGGCCAGAAAAGCAGCCGAGGAGATAACTCTCCAGACAGGTAAGGAACTTTTTCCCTTTTTGCAAAGACGATTCCTTGGATGTTTTTAGTTATAATATGCTGTCTGTCCTTATTGTATTTTTTCTTTCATAATCATTGGCTTACTAGCCCTGCAGACTCTACGTTGCTGTTGTTTGTAGGTTACTTCTCTGTAGTTTCACAGTCTCTGTGAATTGACTATCCCCATGGGCCTTGGGTGCAGGGTGTGTTCTGTGTTTACTTTGTAGCTAAGACCATGGCCTCCTTGTATATTTACAACCAAAATGGTTTTTCTCCCTTTGGAAGCATAGCATCAGGTTATTAAGGCAGCAGCTGACTGTTTGGGTCATTTTGGTTAACATTAAGTATTTGATCTTACCCTGTAAAGTTCCCCTAAGAGATCCTGTCTTTGGAGCATTTTCACTTCATACCACTAACGTCCTTGAAGGCTCTGAGTAGCACACAAAAGAGTGTGACATTGGATTTAGTTTTACAGGAAGTTGAAAAGTAGCCTCCCAAAATAACTAACCTTCTGGCCAGCTGCCTTAAGAACTCTCGGGCAGTGGGTGGGGAGGGTTCGAGGGAGGGAAGGGACTAGGAGAAATATATGGAGCCCTTTAGGATTTGAAAATGGGAAGTTACTGCCAGCAGCAAAGATGAAAGAAAATGGTTAGGAAGTGAGACACAGCATACTAGTGAATGGAGACGGAGCAATCTATAGGAACTCTGTTTCTGAGAGGTAATGATGGAGTCCATGGAGACATGTGGACTGTTGCCCCGCAGGCGCAGGTCAGAGGGTGTTGAAGCAGCTAAAGCAGGGAAATTGGAGGACATGTTTCTTATTCCCACATTATTCTTTGGCTTTGGAGAAGATAAGGAATATTTGGGCCTATAACCTGTTCACAGGCTGGGTAATCAAGTAGTTGGTAGTCTTCTCCAGTTAAATTGTACCACGTAACCAGGTTACTGAGTGGTTAAAATTACCAGAGGTAATGAGTGGTGTAGCCCTGGCTTCTGTTAGCACTTCTCAGGTTCCTGTAGAGCACCAAGACTCTTGCTTGGGGGAAAGGTTATTAGAGAATTATTAAAAGGATTATTAAAGTAAAATTTGATCTGCTTTATACTTTAATTTCAGGCCGTATAATTGCTAATTCTGATTTAATGTTTTCCCCCAGTAAAGGGCCTGAGAGCATTTCAAGTTGAATGCTACTGTTAGGAGTTTCTGCAGAACCTGTTAAGTCCAGGACCATCAAGGATAGGGAGAGAGAATGTGTTCACACATAGCTGTGGTGGTAGAAAGGGTACCTTACTGACACACTTTGAAGCTAGGCTTGAGAACTCCGAGGGTTTTGATTGGGCTGCTGACATGTGCAGATGCCCCATATTTCATAATTTTTCCAGTGGGATCTGGGACAGCTCCGTAATCAAACACGTATTTGCAGTAACACCTATGAACTGTTCCTCTGAGTGGGAGAAAGTATATATACATAAGCCTATTGTTAGTTCAGGAAAGGTCAAGTTTTGTTGTGAAATGAATTAAGAAAAACGTTTGAGCTTTTGTGCCTTTTGGATTTCAGAGTATTGGACAAAGGATTATAGACTTATATCCTAGGAAAATCTTATACCTTATTGATTCACAACAAAAACTGTGAGCAATTCAGAGATCTCATACTTGCTTTTCTTTCCCAAAGGAATTAAGAGGTTTGTGGCAGGAGCTCTGGGTCCAACTAATAAGACACTCTCTGTGTCCCCGTCTGTGGAAAGACCAGATTACAGGAACATCAGTGAGTATTCATCACATAGAATTGTTGATTGTGAGCAAGTACTTCTGTGTTTTAGTAATCTCTCAGTCGGTAAGGTGGGACCAGTAATGGATCTATGTCAGGGTTATTGAGACTTTATCCACATAAAGGCTTACAGCAGACCCTGGAATATAGTGTACATCTAAAAAGAAAGTTAGCTGGTGTGTGTCTGTGTTTTAAATTTGCTTTCAAATGTACGTGGTGGTGTATTAGTTCTTTTGTATTAGCTGTGGAAAATAAAATCAATCAAAATAAAGCTTTAAACTGACAAGTTGAGAAATTATGGACATCAGACCTTGGTCTATGAGAGAATAACCCACTAGACCTCCATTTTATTTATCACAAAGCAGTCCAAACTATATAAACATATTAGCATTATAAAAATTACAAACTATCATATATAAGCATACTTGCGTTGAGATTTTACAAAAAAATCTAGAAATATGGGTCAATTTCTTAAGCATCAGACTATACAAAACAAACAAACTTTCAGAGCTGAATAGTAATGATACTGTGTATGGAATGGATTTTGTATAGATGGCAAGTTGAGGCAGGTGTGGTTTGTAGGCTTTTGCTCACAGAACTTTCCATGTGGAGCTTCCACACTTGGTCACCAGGGTGGCTCATTCTGAGGCCCTCTCAGTCTAGGCATGGCAGTGAGGAGCTACCTCGTCTTCCTCCCGTGCTGTGGAAGATGCGATGTGCTGCTTAGGCCTCTACTGAGTAGCTGAGCATTTTCTCTTTTGGTTGGGAAGTGAAATGGGGAGATGGGTGACTTCTCAGATGGAAAGAGACACCTCGAGATGTTTCTAACAAAAATTGTACCCAGGAGTCATTGAACACCTTTGTTTGAGATTGAAACTGTCCATCAGGCATGTCTTTTCTCTGACAGAGTTGCTGTCAGAGGGCAGGAGCCAAACCCACAGGACTGCAGCCTTTTACCAGAGAGAGAGAGAGGACGTGACTCCCCATGTGATGTCCAAATCAGTGTGACACGTTCCTTTGGTTACTCCTCACATTCATCCCTTATAAGTTGATCAAAACCATCCCTGGAAAGAATGATCTGTCCTAAAGATCTCCATAGCAGGTGCAGATCTCGGGAATTCTGGGCTCCCTCTTATTCTTTCTTGACTCACACATGGGATGTGCAGGCTTTGTGCAAGTGTTCAGGAGCAACTGTGTCCAGTTTACTGGTTCAACTTCCATCACTGCCATATTTCTACATCTGATTCTTTACAAAAGGTGGCATTGTCCTTAAATTATGTGCCATAAACCAGCAGTATGTAGTTCACAGGTGCCAGGCCTGAACACAGCACGTCCTGGTCATTCAGGGGATGTTGATGACTGAGGTCCTGGATGTGTTTTTATCTTTTGCAGCTTTTGATGAGCTCGTTGAGGCATACAAAGAGCAGGCCCAAGGGCTTCTAGATGGCGGGGTCGATATCTTACTCGTTGAAACTATTTTTGATACTGCCAATGCCAAGGTGAGTTAAGGGAGGAAAAGGGACAGGGCTGGGGTGGGAGGCTGGAGAATCCCCTAATGTAGGGAGAAGACAGTAATGGCCATTATTAAGATTAAATGAAATTCCTTTGTTCCATTTTATTCTTGACTATTTTTAACCGAGGCTGGTACAATGAAAAAACTTCAAAATGTTATCTTTTTAACTTTTTGAAAATGTTTTTTTTTTTAATTGTAAAAGTAAATATTTTCATGTATAGCTACTATATGTGCATATATGCACAGGTAATGTATATATACATGGTTCTAAATGCAAAAGGTACATGAAGATATGTAGTGAAAAGTACTATCCTTCCATCTCCTGTTTCCTGGGGACAACTACTCTTACCAGTGTGGAGCCTGACGGATTCTGTGCAGGTACTGGGGGGGTGGGTTGTGTTCCTTACATATGTACAAAGGCACATAAGTGTATGGAGGGAAAAGTCAGTATCCTATACCTGTGCTATTTATTTGTTTGCTTGTTTAATTTTCAATTACAGTTGACATACATTATTATATTAGTTTCAGGTGTACAACATAGTGATTAGATATTTATGTAACTTATAAAGTGATCCCCTCGATAAGTCTGGTACCCAACTGGCACCATGCATAGTTTTTACAGCATCACTGACTATGTTCCCAGTGCTGTACTTACATCCCTGTGAGTGTTTTATAACTGCCAGTGTGTACTTCTTAATCCCTTCAACTTTTTAACTCATCCCCTCAGCTCCCTCCGTCTGGAGACCATCAATTTATACATAACGTTTTGCACACTGTATCCAGGGGATGACTTTCTACAAGTGAAATTGCCAGGTCAAAGGGTTTGTGCATTGTTAATTTTGATCTTTAGTGTCAAATTGGCCCCCTTGGAGATGTGCTCACTTAAACCCCAGCCAGCAAGCGGTGCACAGCAGGGCTGGTTTCCTCACACCCTCGCCACACCATCTGCTGTTACACGTTTTGATCTTGTCCAACTTGATAGGTGGAAAATGCTTCCGTACTATAGTTTTTATTTGTATTTTTCTGACTATAAATGAAATAGAGCATCTTAACATTTTTACAACATTTACATTTCCTCTCCTGTGATGTGTGTGCTGCGCCTTATTTCTGTTGGACTTTTGGTCTTTTTTATTTTCTTTCCCTAAGGAAATCATTCTTGTTGGTGATGAATAGCAAATATTGTCTCCAGTTTGGTGTTTGACTTTTGACTTTATGTGTGGTGGTGATGGTGATATAGTTGTGTTGTTTTTTGTTTGATTGATTTAGTTTTTTACTGGTGTAAGAGAATTTTAATTTTGTCTGGTTGGATTTACGGATTCTGTTTTTTGGTGGGGAGGGAATTTTATTTGCAAGGGCACTCCCCGTTCCCAGGTAAGAATAAAAAATGGTCTCTTTTTATCCCTAGTACTTAACATGTCATCAAATGTTTAATTGTTTAAATGTTATGGAAATAAGACCACAGATTCAGAAGTTTGTTTTAAATAATGACTTCTGGCCCGGCTGGGCGTGGCTCAGCGGTTAAGCATAGACCTAGGATCCAGGCGATCAGGGTTTAATTCCCAGTCAGGGCACATGCCCAGGTTGCGGGCTGCAGCCGATCAATGACTCTCTCATCATTGATGTTTCTGTCTCTCTCTCTCCCTCTCCTTTCCTCTCTCTGAAATCAATAAAGATATATTTAAAATAAATAAATAAATAAATAAATAATGACTTCTGTAACGACCAGTTTGTAGTTAATCCCTTCACCTTTTCAACCCATCACCCAAACCCCCTCCCATCTGGCAACAGTCAAAATGTTCTTTATGTCTATGAGTCTTTCTCGGTTCTGCTTTTTGTTTATTTTGTTTGTTAGATTCCACATATAAGTGAAATCATCTGGCATTTGTCTCTTTCTGACTTATTTCACCCTCTGGGTTCATGTTGTTGCACAATTTAATTCTTTCTGTGGCTGAGTCCTACTCCATTGTGTGTATGCGCCATATCTTCTTTATTCCTTTACCCATTGAGGACTGTAGGCTGCTTCCATACCTTGGCTGCTGTAAATAATGCCGCATGAACATAGGGGTGCATATGTCTTTTTGATTCAGTGTCTTGGGTTTCTTCAGATAAATACTCAGAAGTAGAAATGCTGGATCCTTCTTTGTCTTGTTTTAAGGTCTGTTTTGTCTGATAATAAATACTGCTACCCCAGCTTTTTTTTTTTTTCCATTTTCACGAAATATCTTTTTTTCATCCCTTTACTTTCATTCTGTGTGTATCTCGATGTGAAGCGTGTCTCTTGTAGGCAGCATATGTAAGGGTCTTGTTTTGTTATCCATTCAGCCACTGTATGACTTTTGATTGGAGCATTTAATCCATGTACATTTAAAGTAATTGTTGATAGATATGTTGTTATTGCCATTTTAAAAAGCATTTTTTATCTTTTCTTAAAGAAGGCCCCTAAACATTTCCTGTAGTGCTGGCCTGGTGGTGATGAGCTCCTTTAGCGTTTTCTTGTCTGGGAAGCTCTTTCCCTGTCCTTGGATTCTGAATGATAGCCTTGCTGGGTAGAGCAATCTTGGTTGTAGATCCTTGCTTTTCATCACTTTGAATATTTTGTGCCAGTCCCTTTGGCACAAACGAATCCTCGTTTTTTTGGATTCTTTTTTCTTTTTGCTGTTTGGATTGGAGGTTTTCTGCTTTCTTATATCCCAAATCACTGATTTGGTTCTCTGTTTCATCTCATCTACTATTGATCCCCATAATGTGTTCTTCATTTTAGTTAGTGTATTCTTCAGCTCTGACTGGTTCTTTTTTATGTTTCCTATCCCTTTGTTGAATTTCTCACTAAGTTTCACCTCTCTGCCCCTAAGTACATTGAGCACCCCGATGACCAGTGTTTTGAACTCTGCATCTGGCAGATTGCTCCTTTAGTTCTTTCTCTGGAGTTTTGTTCTGTTCTTTCATTCAGGACATGTTTGTCTTCTCATTTTGGCTGCCTTGCTGTGTTTGTTTCTATGCATTAGGTAGAGCTGCTTTGTCTCCCAGGAAATGTTTAGGGGCCTTCTTTAAGAAGAAAAGATAAAAAATGCTTTTTAAAATGGCAATAACAACATATCTATCAACAATTACTTTAAATGTACATGGATTAAATGCTCCAATCAAAAGTCGAGTGGCCTTATGTAGTAGGTGTCCTGTAGTGTGCACCCACCTGTCGTAGTTGAGGCTTGATGGCTCTTGGCACATCAGAGGGAGGGCTTACACCTAGACCAACTGGCTGTGAGGATGGACTGCAGAGGATCTGCTATGCAGGGGCCAACCCCATAGAGCAGAACTTATTTCAGCAGGGCTTAGGTACCTGCTGAGTCCACGCCTTGACTGTTTTGCTTGTGGAGGTGGTTAGGTGGTGCTTCAGAGTGATCTGAAGCTGTCTACCGGGTATGCTGGTTCTGGGGCCTCACAGGAGGTGCAGGCCAAGGTCAGCCACCACCCATAGTGTTTTTTTAAATAAGTCTTTATTGATTTCAGAGAGAGGAAGGGAGAAGGAGAGAGAGATAGAAACATCAATGATGAGAGAGTCATTGATCGGCTGCCTCCTGCATGCCCGCTACTGGGGATCGAGCCCTCAATCCGGGCATGTGCTCTGGCCGGGAATCGAACCGAGTTCTGGATGCTCAGTCACTGAGCCACTCCAGTTGGGTACCACCTATAATTTTTTAAACATTTTTTTTTACTAAAATACTTGCATTTGTGAAGAACAAGGGACAGGACTACCAGCCAGGAGCTGAACGACTATCCTGCTCATTTTTAACATGTCACTCGTATGGTTCTCTTTTATATACCTTTTTAGAATTGTTTTTTGAATCTCAGTAAACAAATTTTATAATTTGGGAAGCAACTCAGGTGTACATTTTGAAAATAAGAGCAGTAACATATAATAGGAACTATATCTGAAATGAGATCCAGATATACATTTGAAAAGAGTATTGTTTAGAGTAGAAATAAGGGTTGTATAATAATATAAAGCATTAGGTATATATTTTGTTAGTGAAGTTTTTAGGTTTTAGAATGTATGACATGACATTCTTTTGGTTGTAGAGGGACTGGTTTACCTCATTAGGGGTCTGGAATTTATTTTGGAGTTTGGAAAGGGTAGAGATCTAACTACTGTTTTTCTCTAAGGTTACCTACTTTCCCTAACACCATCTATTAGACATTCTTTTATTTTCCGATGAGAGGAATCGTAGAATCACCCATATCATCTAAATTCAGGAGTACATCTGGTCTAATCTGTTCCAGTTATCTGTCTGCTGATGTCACACTGCCCTCCTGTTATTTATAGGGTAGCATTATGTTACCTACCATTATGTAGTGTTATGTAGCATTATAACTACAGTGTGTCTGAGTAACTGGTAGCTTGGTAGGCTTTTCATTGAACACCCCTCCTTCTTTTATCCAGAACTTTCCTGGCTATTCTTTCCATGTTTATTTTCTGTAAGATCTTTAGGGTCAATTTGTTCTAGTTATCAAAAGAGAAATTCACATTTTTTTTTTTTTGGTGGGGAAAAGAATCCCACCATCACAACAAAGGTACACATTAGTTACAGATTACATTCTGATTTCAAAAAATTAATTACGGAAATATGTGCATCTTAGAGTCAAGAAATAGAATGATAAAAAGAAAGATGTGTTGCCTGGAACTCAACAAAACCTGCACAGTAATGGAGGATTTGGATCTTTAACATCTCATCCTGAGCTCACACTCTTTTTGGCAATGACACACAATGTTGGTTCATATACCTACCATGTATATATGATGATATGGGAGGCAGAAGCATTCTTATTTTTAATTTTGATTGAGAAAAGAAAGAAAGAGTAGCTCTTCAGCTCCCCCTCAGAGGATACACTAGTTCCTAGGTGAACTTTCAGTCAGCATTTGTTTTGTTTTAGTGTGATCTTCAGATGGTGCTGGGTTGTGCATTATAGGGAGAACACATTTCTTCTCCCCAGAGAACGTGACATGGATCTTACCTGAAGAGGTCTTAGAAAAGCCAACATTCAGATCAGCCAGTTAGAATGACCTTTGGACACAGTCTCTCCCAGATAAAGATGATAGAAATTGGGTTCACGAAACCATACAGGTTCCAAGTGTACAACTCAGTAAAACATCATCTGCACACTACGTCATGCACCCATCACCCCAAGCAAAGTTTCTTCAATCCCCATTTCCTACCTCCACCCCCACTTTGCCCACCTCCACCTAGATCCCACTCCCTTTTCCCTCTGACTATCACCACACTGTTGTCTGAGTCACTCTCTTCTCCTTCTCAGATACATATGATGTGGATGTTTTTATGGTTGATGTTCCAGAGGTCTCTTAGAGTTTCCTCATTTTTAAAAATTCTCTTTCCTTTTTGATGCTCTAATTGGGTACTTACTGTTATCTTGTCCTCTAAATTGCTGCTTCGATCCCCCACTTCATCTAACCTGCTGTTGATCCCTTCTAGTGCATTTTTCATTTCAGATATTGTGTTCTTCTTTTCTCAATGGTTCTTTTCTATGTTTTCCTTTTTTTTTTTAATGCTTACTATCTCTTTCTTTAAGTTCTTACTGAGATCATCCATTTTTTCCCTAAGGTCCCAGAGCATCCTTACAACCATTGTTTTGAAGTCTGCATCTGCTATTTTGGTTGCTTCTATTTCATATAATTCTTTTTCTGGGATTTCTCTTGTTCTTTTGCTGGAGGCATATTCCTTTGTCTCCCCATTTGTCTCTGTATATTAGGTAGATCTGCTATGACTCCCAAACTTGTCATGATGGCTTTATGATGATGTCTTGTTGGGCTCAGTGGCACAATCTTCCAGGTCACCAGAGCTTCATTGCTCCAGGAATGTTTCTTGTGGTTTATGTGCACCCTTCTGTTGTAGTTGAGTCTTGAATGCTTTTGGCCCTTTCATGGGTGGAATTAATCCTTCAGGCTTGGTGACTATAAGGGTAAACCTCGATCACTATATATGAGACACTGTACAGGGGCTGCCCCTCAGGTGGAGTTGTTCCCAGCAGAGTCTAGTGCCTGTTGGAATCACACTGCTGAGTGATTCAACAGGTAGGAGGAGTGGTGCTGGCTGTGTCCTCAAGGTGGGAGAGATTGGCCCTCTTTCCAAAGCCACACAGTTTAATCACTTTCAGAGTCTCTGCCAAAGCCTCCCCAGAAAAAGAGGGCCCCAAAAGGCATTGCTAGGTGCAGCCAGAAAACCCCCCTCTGCAGGACCTGAGTATGGCAGAGGGGCCTCACCAGCAGTCAGGGACTAGGTAGTGCACTTCTCATTCTGGTGCTGTAACAATAGGAGTGCTAGTTCTTGGGAAGGTGCCATCTGGGTATCCAGGCAGACTGAATCACCACTGATTTTCACCACCAGATGATACGTGTTCTCCTCTCCCCATCTCTGTTGCTCTGGGTTGAGCATCCCTACATGGGGTTGAGACCCCGTGCTCCTGGGGGAGGGAGTTTTGCAGCCCCAATATCCCTGTAGCTTCTCAGCCATCACTGCACCTGGGTGCAGGTGCTATCCCTTTCCACATCTCCGCCCTTTTTACTAGTCTCTATGTGGCTGCTTTTGTAAATCCTGGGTTATAATATTTCAGTTCAGCTAGGCTTCACTTGGTTATTCAGGTTGATTGCTCTATAATTTAGCTGCAAACCCAGTTTGGGGCTGGGAGCAGGTGGGTGAAGGTCCCACCTCATCTGTAGCCATCTTGGAATCCAAGATAATACTCTTTTTTTTACCCTGACAGGCAGCCTTGTTTGCACTCCAGGAGCTTTTTGAAGAGACGTATGCTCCCCGGCCTATCTTTGTAAGTTCTGAAATGTTGATTTTTGTTTTTTATTAATATTGTCATTTGAGGGTAGGGGTTTTTTTCTTGCATAGAACTACTGATAGTATCTTTTGGTAACCACCTACTTTAAGTTTTCTCTTCACATTCCTCCTACCACTACCTTAAGACGAAGCAAATGAATCTGGAAGTGGTTGGTGCAAAGCAGAGTGTTCTGGCTGGATTGGTATCCTGAAGCCAGGGGCTTAGGGTTGTACCCTCCTTAGGGCCTTGCATGCTGACTTGGAGTACCCAGCACTGAAAGCAGCAGATTGCCAATTTATTAACTCAATAAGCAGACCCATTAGAGAATCCTGAGGTTGCCTGGTGAGACTAAAATAGAATCTAAACTAGGACTGTGCCACAGGAGGAGGCCAGGCCAAGCTGAGGATCGTGGGAAAGTCTTCTCTAATGAGACGGGATGTGTGAATTCTGAAGCAGCTCTGGTCACAGCGTTTGCCTCTGTGGCTTTCCCTTTTCCTTGCTTCCATGGTTCCCCAACTCCCCCCTCACTTGACATGTGTCTATTCTGACAATTGTAGAATATGCTACCTTTGAGTTCCACAGTTCTCTTCCCTGTAAAAGTACACAAAAAGTCAGCTTGCTTATTTTGTCTTTGTGACTGAACTCTTCATTCCAGCCTGTATTGTTGACTGAATTTGCCTTGTTAATTCAGATTTCAGGAACAATTGTCGATAAAAGTGGGCGGACGCTTTCTGGACAGACGGGAGAGGCATTTGTCATCAGTGTGTCTCACGCAGACCCACTCTGGTGAGGCATCATTCTTTCCTTGACTCCATCCCTTTTTGGGGACCTTCCCTGATGGCTATAAGTGTTCCTCTTATAGTTTACGACTGTGCTTGTTGGTTTAGTAATAAGATTTAAAAACTATTGTCAGCACTTACACTTTCTGCAGTGCTTTACAAAGGTTTTTATTCACTATTTATGGAACAACCAGAAGCAGTCTAACTTGGAATAAGATGGGGAAAACTCAGATTTTTATCTTCAAAATTAACATGGCTTGCCCGGCCGGTGTGGCTCAGCAGTTGAGTGTCAACCCTTGAACCTGGAGATGACGGTTCGATTCCTGGTAGGGCACGTGCTTGGGTTGCAGGCTTAATCTCCAGTGGGGGTTGTGCAGGAGGCAGCCAGTCGATGATTCTCTTTCATAATTGGTGTTTCTATCTCGCTCTCACTCTCCCTATCTCTGAAATCAAGAAAAGAAAAACAATTTTAAAAAGTATTAAATTAACATGGCTTTTCCATTCTACTTTAACATTTCTCCCAAACGTTTTCTGTCATATTAGTTTAAATTACATACTGTGAGTGAAATGGAAGCTCCAAGAGTATATACTTTTTCTCCTGTGCCTTCTCCATAAATGTGCCATTTATTTCTTCTGCCTAGAAGCTGTGCTCATCCTTTCTCTCATTCTCTCCCTGTCTCTCTTTGTCTCTCCCTCTCTGTATCTTATCTTATCTCTCTTTTCTCTCTCTCTCCTCCTCTCCTCTCTCTTTTGCTCTCTCCTTCTCTCCCCCTCTCTCTTGGCTCCTTGCTCGCCTTTAAGACTCACCTAGAGGGTCCTCTTCAGGGACCCACCTTCTCTTACAAGCCCAGGTTGATGTTCCTCTCAGAGTACTCTGTTTACTTTTATTATAGCCTTTGCCATGAAAGTAGTAGTAATAGACATTTATTGAGAGTTTGCTGTATGCCAGGCTTGATTCTAAGTGATTTATGAGACTATTTCTTCTAATTCTGGTGACAACACCTGGTGTAGGTACTGCTGTTTATGGCCTCATTTCATTGAGAAAGGGGACTGAGACTTAGGAGTTGTAACTGGCCCAATATTAAGTAAATAGTGGATCGAGGGACAGGGGCATGCTCTTGACCACTGTGCATACCCTATTTCATCAGTTATGTGATGTTATTTTTCACATTTTTATGTTTCTAGTTTCAGGGCTGATCTTCCAGTTGATTTAGTGTGGTAGTGTGATTTCGTGAAGGCTGGTATAGTGTAGAATGCTTGGTTATATTACTGATCGGGCCTGATAATTAAGAAAGTAACTGCATTGAACTGGGTTGTGATTAGCTCCTTAACAGCTTATGGGCTTTTTTAGAGCCATCTCTTAATCATCTATATTTCTCCAATGCTAGGTAGAGTCCTTGGCACATCGAAGGGATGCAATAAACATTTAACAGAAAAACTAAAGATAGGAACGTGTAGGGATCTTTGAGGACAAACTTTATGTAGTTTTGAACTACATAAACATTTTGAACAGTCTTACTTTCATTTCCTTTCTCTCTTCCCTACCACATTGCACCAAGGAACCCTAGTAAAAGTAAAAAGTAAAATACAGGGCGGGGCCAAAGTAGGTTTAGAGTTGTTCGTATGGAAAATAATACTGTAATTAATGAGTAATAATACAAGAATAAACTCTGTCTTTCATATACTTACAACTGTAAACCTACTTTTGCCCCACCCTGTATTAAAAAGAAAATATGTCAGAGGTCAGTAGCTTCATAGTTAATTCCTGATTTCCTGCAGGCCTCAGGAGCCCCCAGTGAGGTGGGTTTTGGAGGGGTTTCAGGCCCTCACTCTTAAGTCAGAGCAGCTCTGCTTTGAGTAAGTTTCATCTGCTAAACAGAGAGACCCTGGTTTTATATATAAAGAAGCCAACTTAGCCCTAGTGGCTGTGGCTCCGTTGGTTGGAGCACCATCACGTACACCAAAAGGTGGCAGGTTCAATTCCCGGTCAGGGCACATACCCAGGTTGCGGGTTCGATCCCTGGTCAGGGCTCCTGTAGGAGGCAACTGTTCGATGTTTCTGTCTCTCT